CTGCCGCCTCCTCCTCCTCCTCGGCGTGTCCCTGCCTGCGCTCCCTCAGCGCTTCCCTCACGGCGGGAAGGCGGCCATGAGGGGCCGGGCCGGGCCGGGCCGTCGCCTTCCCCTGAGGGTCGTTGGGCGGGAGGCGGGGAGCGCTGTCGGGGTGAGCTTACGGCCCCGTCTCTGTCTCCGTGCAGCACTTTCGACGTGGCGGTGGTGGGAGCGGGAATCGTGGGGCTGGCCTCTGCCCGGGAGCTCGTCCGGCGGCACCCCTCGCTCACCTTCGCCGTGCTGGAGAAGGAGAAGGAGCTAGGTATGGTGCCGGTGTGCCTTCCTCACCCCTGTGTCTGGGGTTCCCTGGTGTCAGTCTGTCAGAAATCATCACTGAAGCACACGCTGGCCAAAACCTCAGTATTTCGTGAACGTACGTCTAAAGGGCAGCTCTGCTTTTGGGTGGGCGAGCAGCAGTGGAAGAGCATCTGCCCTTGTTGCTGATGGATTCCACCCCGGGAAGAGCATCTTCGTTCCCAGGTGCCGCTGGCTTTGCCCTGACGGGGGGTTTCTTCCTCCCTTCGCCCGAGGTTGCATCTGTCCTTCAGTGGAGAAGCAGAGTTGTCATCAGTCTGTGCTGTGCTGCTGGGACTTCAAGTTAGGACTTTTAAGCTTAGAAAGAGCGAACGTTGCCACTTCATGGTTTGAAAGTGGCAGGTCTTACTGGCCTGGGGCTCCAGCAGCAGGGATTTGGGGGAAAAGGGCGAGGAGGATGGACGACTCAAGTATGGAGCAGTGCAGGTTGCAGAGGGACAAGGGCAGGTCTGGTTTAGTGCCGCACAGAGCGGGAGGCAGAGAGGATGAACTGAGGAATGCTGCCAGGACGGCTTTTTGGTGGGGCACGAGAAGAGTGAACAGCAAACAGTGATGGTTGGTGGGTAGAGAGGGAGGGTTGGGAAGTATTGCTGCTTAAAAATGGCTGGGAGCTGCTGATTTGGGCAAAGTCAACACCTGTCTATTAATTGCCAGAACTGTAAACCACTGTCATTTGCCTTGTCTTTCTGGATATAGGCCAGGTTGGATGGGGCTCTGAGCAACCTGCTCCAGTGGAAGGTGTCCCTGCCCATGGCAAGGGGGTTGGAACTACATGATCTTTAAGGTCCCTTCCAACCCAAACTGTTGTGTGATTCATTCTGTGATATCTCCATATATGCTGTGCAAGGTTCTGTCCTTTGCATGGAGGGTCAAAGGTAAAGAACTAACACGGATAACTGGAAGGGTATCGCTAGTTACAGACCCAGCGTTAGCCAGAGTAAAATGACACAGCTCCCAGTGTTGCCTGCTTACACACGAAATCTTGAGGCAGTCTGCACCTGGGCATCTGTCCTGGCTTTGAAATAAGAAAGTATGAGCCCTGTGGCTTCATTGTTTGAAAGCTTTTCTGGCTCGCTCAAGTACAAGCACAGGTTCATCATAAGTAGTCTTTTCACGGCAAGTGCTTATGCAGATACACAGTCACTCAGGGTAGGTAGGAGCAACCCCAAGCGATCATGTCAATGCCTAACTCAAAATAAGACGTATGAGCCCAAGCTCTCGCTTTAAATAGCTCCGTCAGCCAGGCTATACATTGCTTTTGAGATGTTACATGTATGATACAAAGTGGCTTTTTATCCCCAAGGCAAGACATGCATGAAGTCCTTAACAGTTGTGTGAGTACAAAGCAGGAATGACCTTTGGGAGTCAATATTTTGAGGCAGAACCTGCCCAAATTACGTCAATAAAAATGTTTGTGATATTTTTCACCTCTGTTTTACTTAGTTACAAAGAGGAAATAGCAACCTAATCTAGTTCACAAATACTTGAAAAGCCTACCAGGCCTGCCAGGGCCTCCAAAGAAATGGAGGATTGCACAGACATTCTGTTAGATGAGGCCTTTAAGGATGCCTTTCATTTTAAAAAACAGATTTCTTAAAATTAATTTTAACATGTAGAAAATTTGAATTGATTGGCCTGCAGTTGTAGCTCTTGGAGGAAAAACTCGTGATCCCCCCCCCGCCAGCCGTTGATTCAACACATTGCAAGCTGTGATGGTTTATTATTAACTAGGTCTTGCTGTGTCAGTATTTTTCTAGCCTTTTGAGACCAAGGGAGGAATTGTGTTTGCTGTGCAGTTACCTTATTTGAGCATCTCTTGTTGTAACACTGATTTAGGGCATGACCTCAAATTGCTCGCTCTTCTGACAGCTGAAGTAATTAAGGTATGAACCAATCATGGAAACATGTCTTTTAATAATGTATTTTGCTTTCTATTTAGCTCATCACCAGAGTGGACATAACAGTGGTGTGATTCACAGCGGAATTTACTACACACCTGGATCTCTGAAAGCTAAGCTGTGTGTGCAGGGTGCAGCCCTCTGCTACGAGTACTGTGACCAGAAGGGAATACCATATAAACAGTGTGGGAAGGTATAGGAACCGCTGTGTGTTCTTACTTTACCTTTGGAAACTGAGACTGTATAATGTATGTTACAATGTATCGCATAGGCCTGGTTGTAGACTTTCTCCCAAGAGATGAGTTTCTGCAACACTTACTAGCTTCAGGATGAATGTGCCTTTTTGTTTTCTTCTTTCCAGCAACTCAAATCAATTTCTTTTCTGGGCCTAAATAGTAATTCTCCTTCTCTGTGGACTGAGCTGAAATATCCCAGGTAATGGTGGAAGCCAAGCCCCATGGAGGGACACCTCTGTAGCTCCAGGGAACACAAAAGACTCAGTATGTGCAGGCCATACTTCTTGGCATGTCAGGCTCTGAAAAGACATGGTGACTTGAAAACAGCTCCATATGTGACACAGCTACATGTATTTATGCCATTTTACATCCACCTAACACAACCTGAAATGCTGGGGACAGAAGAGTGGCTGTACTGATTCAGCTTGGGGTCTACCCAACCCTATATCCTGTTTCTGCAAATGTCTGGAAACAGAGACCCGGGCAGGAATGAGAACAGGACAAGCAAATTATTAACTCCCCCAGCTTCCAACTATTTTCAGCTCAGGTAATTTTCTGAGCCTGCTCTGTTTTGTCTGTGGTGACTCTCAATGGATTTCTCTTCCAAGTGTTTTTCAATTAAAAGCACTTGCATCACAGCATACTTTGGTGAGCAGTTCCAGAGATCAACAATCCGCTACATGAAGAGTTACATCATTTTGAAACTGGCTTCTACAAGCTTCATCTGATGGCCCCTAACCCTTGTGTTGGAAGAGGTGGTGAACAGTTGATCTGTGCTCACACTCTCCAAGTTGCACATAATTTTATATCCCCTCCTCCCCCAAAGTCGTCCCTTCCAGCTGGTGGTTCTTAGTCTGCTCAGTCATTCCTCTTAGGGAAGCTTTTTCATGACTCTCTCCACCCTGCCTTCATTCTCTGAACCATTTCTAGTTTAATACACCTTTGATACAAGATGAGGACCACAACTGCGGACAGCATTCAAGGTGTGGTGAGGCTCTGGATTTTTGCAGTGAAATAGTAGAGTTCTCTGTATTATCCTGTATCCTTTTCCTAGTTGTTCCTAACATTCAATTTAGAGCTCTTCAGCTGTCACTAGGCACTGAGCTGATGTTTCCATAGGATTGTCTATCCTAACCCCAAGATCTTGGTCCCGAGTGATAACTTTGAATTTGGATTCCGTTATTTTATACATGAGGCTAAGACTGCTTTTTCTGTGATCATCATTTCACATTCATCTGTGTTGAATTTCGTCTGCCATTTTGTTAGTAGCTCGTTCAACTCGGAAGGTCTCTCTGCAGTTCCTTACAGTCAGCTCTTGTCTAAACCACCTTGAGTCACTTTAAACCATCACCCGACTTTCTCACCACCCTGGTTGCCCCTTTCCAGCTTGCTCATAAACATCTTGGACAGCATGAGCCTTTCTCTTAAAAGTGCAACGCAGACCCCGTCTGATGTGACAAGCGCCACTTCAAGGCTCCCTTGCTCAGCACCCGCTGGGAGCTGGGTGCAGATCTCTCCCAGCTCTGGGGAGCAGAGCTGAGATCCCTGGATGTGGCAGTGTTGATGAGTCCTGCACCAGTGCAGGTGGTGGTTGTCCTGGCCTGGTTGTGTTCCGTGCTGTGTTCATGCTGTGCTCCTTCCGCTGCAGCGCTGGTCACAAGATGGCACTGTGGATTTGCCTGAAGTTACACGCCTGCTGTCGACTCAAAGCACCAAGACAACAGAATGGTTCTGTAGGAGCCGGTGTGAGCTTGGGCAGGGCTAGCACTGACCCAGCAGCATTATTGGTCCTTTGCTGACACTGAATTTGTGTACTTCCACATCACCTTCCCCAGCAGTGTTTATTCCAGGGAAGATGATGGTGAGGCTTTACAGCTGGTTTTACATAAAGCAGCCCCCGGCCTGGAGAACTTAGTGCCTTCTCGAGGCAAAGATGCCCGTGTTGCTAGACCTGAGCTGGACCTGCAAGTAGTGTGGTCTGGGCAGACTTGGCACAGGTAATGCATAGTCTGGATAAATCTCTTGTGATAGTTCTGAGCTAACTACATGGCTAAATGAAGTGAAGCTTGTAAATTCAGTTTAGACACCATGTCAGAACATGTACTTCCTCTCGTAGCGAGACTGTTTGAGATTTGTACATCTTGGGTTAAGTTCAGTTTTATTTTTGGAAGCATCCCAGTGGCTCTTTAAAATCATATTCTCTTCTTTCACATTCAGATTTGTAGTCTCGTGGTACTTTTAGCAAATATTATCTATTGATAGTAACTTGAACTACAGTTTAACATTTGTTTTTCACTCTCCTTAATATATTAGTGTTTCCTCAGTAGTAATAGGTATTTATAGAATCTTGTGCAACTAATGGCACAAACCACATTTTCCCCCCCCTTGAAATATAATTCACTGTTCACTCATTCACTAGTGCTTGCTTGTTAGCTTGGGCTTGATGCCAAACCTGAACTGGCTTTGTATATTTTGGTCACTGGTATGCCTTGTTATCTTTTTCTGAAGCTAATTGTAGCCGTTGAACAAGATGAAATTCCAAGACTCAAAGCTCTGTATGAAAGAGGGCTGCAGAACAACGTCCGAGGTCTGAAACTGATTGGAGCAAAAGAAATTCAAGCAAAAGAACCCTTCTGCAGGGTAAGGGATTTCCTTATTTTTATTTGGCATGTAAGACCTCTGTTTCTCAGGTGACATTATTTTTTAATTTAACATAAATATGTTTCTGGCCTTGAGGTAATTTGCATGGGTGACAAGTTCAAAAGAGCCTGAAAACTCAGAAGTCAACAAAAATAAATGTATCCATTTATTTCTGGAACTTTTTAGCTCAGCGCAATCCTTCATATGCATTTGTCATTACATACACATGAAACCAGATCTAACATAACATAAGGTGAATTCTGCAGAATCTTTCTTGGTGACGCTTACTTTCACTTCAGGTTTCTCCCACTCACCTGTTCTCATTCTCTTGCTTGTTAGTTCGTAGTTGATCAGTTCTCCGTGTGTTGAAGTCATAAAGAACTGCTGCTGCAAATGATGTACTGGCTGTTTCATAAGGGCCAGCATTCACAAATTAGAGAGCAGGTAATCCATTTCACTTGCAGCCTGCAAAAGGAATCAGAATTATTTGAGTCAAAGTAGGAGACTTTATAGTCCCTTAGTCCCCATGCAGGCCTGAATTTACAGGCAAATGGACAGAGCCTACAAGTTGTTCAGACTTCATCCTTTTCCCAGCTTTACACAGACATGTCCTCCCTGATGTATATGCTCAGAAACAAACAAAAAAACCCCAGTTCTCTCACCAATAACAAGTGATTTTTATTTTTACTTTTTCTAATCTTTTTTTTTTTTTCCCTTCTCCTTGCAGGTGCTTGCTTTTATGTTTTTGTGGTTGATAGGCAGATTTTCCTTTGCCCACGTTAGAGCTGCTGTATCTGAGTTTATGCTGAGATGATTCTGCTCCTTCCCACTAGAATTATTTAACTTACAGTAAGGCTTGATAGTGCAGCAATGAAAATTCCTTCCCATCTGTAAGTGTGGATTTGGATCAAGCCAATTTCAATCCAGTTGCTTCCTATACATGTGATTGTTATGTAGCACTTCTCAGCTTGTTTATTTTCAAAGCAGGAGAAATGTGAGTAGTTTATGGAATACAGATTTGTTGTTTAGTGTGTCTCTGAAATTAAAATCTGGATATAAATTCCCCATACTGTTTCATCTGGCAGCTTGCTATTGGTGTAGCTGCATGACTCATTGCTTATGAGTGGTTGTAGGTACAGACAAAAATTTTCTGGAGAGGAATCTTTTTAAATCTTTTTTTCTCTTAAACATTTTGTATCCACTCCTTAAAACATTCTTCACATATTCAAGATCCAGCTGAGTGTTTACTTCTGCAAATGAGTAGATTCAGATGGGTCTTACTTAATTTGCTTTTGTTTCCTGAGCTGAGTCCTTTCCTAGTAAGCAAAGGGAACTTGAATGGTCTTTTAAAACATTGCACTGTATATCAAGTGGAGAGGAAGGTTTTGTGTTAGATACAGTTTTACCAACCATTCTGGTTGTCCTGGGCATGTAAATGGCCCCTGCTATTGTAGTATCTGAGTAGCTGACAGTCTTTTAGTGTAGTTACACTTGCAACATCTCTCTGAGATAAAGTAGTCCTACTATCCTTATTTTATATCCGGAACTAGGAAAATATTGTGATGCCATCTAGCATAAGTATTATGTGAGAAACTGAGCCTTTTTGGTATAAAGATAGTAAAACGTCTCTGAGCAACATTAGAAATTCTAGCTACACACTGGACTTGAACCTTGCTTTCTACTAGGACAAGTATAGGCTCTTGTCTAACTCAGAAGAGGCTTTTCTCTCTGATGTGCATGCAGTAAGTGTTGAGATGATACCTTTTAGCCTCGCAGGAGGCATTGGCAACAGCCATGCATCAGGTAGAACTCCCAAGTGACCATTTGAAGGCGGAACTGCGTAGTGCACGGTGAAAAATAAGTACATATTAGCTGAACCTGAGGTTAGGTAACCTGCTTTATCATTAAGTGCTCTGTTGAGAAGACTTGTTTATGCTGTAGTTACACGATCACTCAATCCACCCTAAGTAGTTTTCACCGTATTAGTTGTCAGCAAACATGAACGCTGGAGCTGGCACATGCAGAGACTAGGAACAAGCAGCCAGGGATGGGGAGGCAGCGGTACTCCCTTCTCAATGGCAATGCACAGTATTCCAGATGAAATATTCTCTGTATTGAAGACCAAAGTCCCCATACAGCCTTCACTATTCTTCTGTATCTTAATACCATTTCAGGGTCTGATGGCCCTCGATTCTCCATATACTGGCATTGTGAATTATAAACAAGTGGCCCAGTCCTATGCTGAAGACTTCCAGGAAGCAGGTGGGACGATCTTGACTGATTTTGAAGTTACAAACATGGAGATGGCTAAAGAAAGTTCTTCAGAAAGTGAAGATGGTAAGGCAGTTTTTTAACCTGCATTTACTACAGTCTTGCCAAAGATTTTGTTCAAAACACATTTGCTTTAACTGAAATGACATTTCTGAACCTTTCTGTCTCATAGGGATGAGACACAGGGCAAAATTATGTTAGTGAGAGTATTGACCAAGCTCACTTTTTTTTTTTTTTTGCAGGCAGGTCACCCTTCAGCTGAAACATTTAAAGCTGGTGGACAAAAATGATAGTAAAATTGAGGAAGAAGGTTGTTCTCTCCTATAAAATCAGATTTAGCTGAATATTGCATGTGTATTCTCGTGATAGTGCTTTTTCTTTATCCTGGAAGGCAGGTTGGATCTGTGCTGGTACACATATGGAAGAATAAAAAAACCCTATTAATTCATAAATACAGTTATGTCCACCAACATCAGTTGCTCCAGAGCTTGAAGATACTCCAGTGGAAGAATCCTTCATCGTGAAAAGCTGCTTGTTCTGTTATGCATTCTAGTAATTCCTTCTCTTGTCTAATTCTATTACAGGACTAAAATACCCAGTCATTGTTAGGAACTCAAAGGTAAGAACTAAACTGAAGATTTAATTGCTTAATAGGAAGCTGTTTCTCCTTTTCTTAAGAATTTTTGTTGAGTCCTGGTGGATTAATCAGCTCTCTAAAAAAAGTTAAAAAGCTGCTGCTGTTCAGTAACATGATCGCTGTAATCTAGGACTGCTTTTATAAAACAACTGCAATCAATTCTTAACAATGAACATGTTCAGATTTTACTGTGTACTGGGAATAGTAATGAAAGTTAACTTTCTCTTTCTTCTGCCTAACTTATGTTTAACTATATATGTCACCTTCTTTATTTGCACATTCTTATGCTTACTGTTTGCAAGGACTTGTTTTATGACATTCATTTGGTGAGAAACACCTATTTTCATGTTTGCTTTTGGTCTTTGGCATCTATAAAAACGATAAGGAGGCATTTAGAATCATTTTATCATCAGAAGGCCACAAGCTAATTTATTAAAACAGGTGCATCTGTGGGTGTCACTTACATGTTAATGCTGCACAGGAAATGTAGTTATAACCTTTTCACCTTCAGGAGAGAATATGTGGACTCTTCTTTGGAGGGGGGAAGACAAACAAACAAAAACAACCTCACAACCCCTCCAATAGTTTTTAAAGTTACTGCTGCTACTGCTTTTTTTCTTGTATTTCTGCTCTTTCACTAAAAAGTAGCTTCCAAAATCTGTTAGATTCCTTCACCAAATACTAGTATTTTTTTAATGGAAACATTTTTATTTGAAGAAAATACCCACAGTATTTAAAAACAAATACTGTGAGATAGATAGATAGATATAGTTTGTAATTTTATTTATTTATGTAGATAGTAATGCGTTTAGATATTTAACAGCAATCTATAACTGTGCGCTATGAACTTGCGTAGCTTTCTGGATAAACTACTTTTCAGTAGAATGACCACTCCTAGTGCATGGGGAGAAATCTGTTAACAGCCTTATTTACCCAAATGTATTGTGATTGCTTAGCTACCCCACCTGTCACGTACCCCCTGGCAATGCAGACCTGGCCAGGGACCTGCACGCCAGTCTGGCATCAGGGCTTCGTAGGATGCAGAGATGAGGGAGGGCCAGAGGGAGACATTTGGTTTGCTGGAGGAGCAGAGTCTTTGACGCGGATGTGTTGGGCCTCTGCCCTGTACAATAAGCATGAGTGTGTAATGCACGAGGCTCTGTGTTCTGAGAACGGAACCTGAAAGTAGTCTGAGAATCAATGACATGTTTCTTTTTTTTATTCTTTTTTTTTATTCCCTTTCCTGCCTCTTTTCTATAAAGATTCTTCCAGTCCTACCTGCCCAATGAATTGCCGTTTTAGGATGGTTCTCCTCCAGGGAATGGATGGGTATTGGAGCCAGATTTCAAAGCCTCAGAACAGCCAACAACTCAGATTGTTCTCAGCTCTGTGACTCCCTCCAAACTGTCACGCACAAACAGGGGTTTTATTCTTCATGCCTATTTTTTAGACCAGGAAAACACAAAAAAGATACAAGAAACAGAATTCACCCTGAATACTTGAAAGGCAAAACGCATTGGTGGGTGGTGTTTTGTTTTGATTTGTTTGGGTTTTTTTTAACAACTGAAGCATCTCTTCCGGTTCAACAACTAGCATATTATCCTACTACTTGAACTTCTCTCTTCACTAGCTAAGCGTGCACATTAATTTCTTCACTCCACCATACAGCAGAAAGGTTACCTGCTTACAGGTATGCACTAACTTATTCAGCGACTTCTCACATCCTGCAGGAGAAATTCTCCTGCCAACAAAGCATGGACAACTTTCAGGTTTAGGGCTTTTTTATCTTCCATTAAGAAGATAAAGAATTAGATGAAACAATTAAATGTTTCTACCTCCTTTTGAAAATATAGTTGGTTTTCTTTCTGGTCTTAACTAATTTTTTTCCAAGGCTTGTAGGTGATGGGTGTTTTTTTAGTAGATAGGGTGAATTTTTGTGTGTTTTTTGGTTTGGTTTGGTTTTTTTTTCCACAGGGTGAGGAAATCTACTGTCGGCACATTGTGACCTGTGCAGGACTTTACTCAGACCGCCTGTCTGAGATCAGTGGCTGCAGCCCTGAACCTCGCATTGTACCCTTCCGTGGAGATTATTTGGTGCTAAAACCAGAAAAGTGCTATATGGTTAAAGGAAATATTTATCCGGTATGTACTTTCTTGTTTGTCTTTCACAGTGCACCCTAAGAACAGCTGAAACTACAGAAATAAGGGCAATATTACATGGTTATTTCAGTTACGCTGCAGATAGTGATGCACAACATGTGGATGTAGATTCAGTTGCTTTCTGACAGGACAACTTGTTTTTGTTAATTCTTGAGGAACAGGTAGAAGTACCATGTGGGAAGTTATTGCCAGTCTTGTTTGTTTGTGTTTTTGTTGTTGTTTTGGTTTTGGTTTTGGTTTTTTTTAATAGGGAAAGAACAAAACATTTAGCATGATGGCCACATGCCCACAAAAGCCTGGCTTCTTTTTTTATGTTATAAAATAAATCTGTAGGCAGGATTCAGAATTCAATGGGGGACAACAGTAAATAATTAATTACTTAGATGTAGGGTTTAATCTTGTGTGCTACTATCCAAAGCTCAGATTTAGATATTTGCCTCTCAACCTCATCTTTGAATTAGCTTTACTTTCTATGACAAAAAATAGACACAGAAGGAAAAGGACAAACTTTCTACCATCTAATATAGACAAACAGTGCGATGAAGAGGATCAATCCCAGACAGAAAGTGAAGATAGCAAGCAAGAAGAGAGAATTCCTAGGGCAGCATTTATTTTTTTAATTCATGCAGTATGTTGCCTTTCTGAATATGAACTTAGATTTGCCTGCTAAACGCTGGAGCAGGTTGCCTTAGGAAAATTGTGGAACCCTGGGCATTGGATGTTTGTCTGACCTCTTCTCACCTGAGAATGATTCAGGATCCTGTCTTGGGATGTGAGGGAGGAACTGGCTGGGGTGTGAGGGTACCTTCCAGCCTTGTTTCATGGCTGTGTGAGGATAGCTTGGACCCTTTGAAATTTTTTGTTATGGCCAGATAAGGTAATAAGATTAGAAAATTGCACAACTCTTAGTGATATGGCTTGGACAGGTGTACTCTTCGCTGGGTGAAAAACTGGCTGGGTGGCCAGGCCCAAAGAGTGGTGGTGAATGGAGTTAAATCCAGTTGGCAGCCGGTCACAAGTGGTGTTCCCCAGGGCTCAGTATTGGGGCCAGTTCTGTTTAATATCTTTACCAGTGAACTGGACAAGGGGATTGAGTGCACCCTCAGTAAGTTTGCAGATGACACCAAGTTGGGTGGGAGTGTTGATCTGCTCGAGGTCAAGAAGGGTCTACAGAGGGATCTGGACAGGCTGGATCGATGGGCTGAGGCCAATTGTACAGGGTTCAACAAGGCTCAGTGCTGGGTCCTGCACTTGGGTCACAACAACCCCATGCAACGCTACGGGCTTGGGGAAGAGTGGCTGGAAAGCTGCCCAGCAGAAAAGGACCTGGGGGTGCTGGTCAAGAGCCAGTTGAATATGAGCCAGCAGTGTGCCCAGGTGGCCAAGAAGGCCAACGGCATCCTGGCCTGTATCAGAAATAGCGTGGCCAGCAGGAGCAGGGAGGTGATCGTCCCCCTGTACTTGCCACTGGTGAGGCCGCACCTCGAGTACTGTGTTCAGTTTTGGGCCCCTCATGACAAGAAAGACATTGAGGTGCTGGAGTGTGTCCAAAGAAGAGCAACAAAGCTGGTGAAGGATCTAGAGCACAAGTCTTATGGGGAACGGCTGAGGGAACTGGGGTTGTTTAGCCTGGAGAAAAGGAGGCTGAGGGGAGACCTTATCGCTCTCTACAACTACCTGAAAGGAGGTTGTAGTGAGGTGGGTGTCCGCGTCTCTTCTCCCACGTAACTAGTGATAGGACAAGAGGAAACAGCCTCAAGTTACGTCAGGGGAGGTTTAAATTGGATATTAGGAAAAATTTCTTCACTGAAAGGGTTGTCAAGCACTGGAACAGGCTGCCCAGGGAAGCGGTTGAGTCACCATCCCTGGAAGTATTTAAAAGACGTGTAGACGTGGCGCTTAGGAACACAGTTTAGTGGTGGACTTGGCAGTGTTAGGTTAATGCTTGGACTCAGTGATCTTAAAGGTCTTTTCTAACCTAAACGGTTCTATGATTCTGTGTTACCAGAAATGTAATGTAGTTTATGGAGTGGTTGCACTAAGCTTTGAAAGTATTAAAAGCGTAATTTTAACAGGAAAAACAGTGCACTGAATACAGGAAAGGAACATATCTTGAAGCAATTTTTAGTTAGAACAATACTGGTTTTTTGAGAAATACCCAACACTTGCTTATTTTGAGACTATAACACAGTCACCTCCGTAGTCACCTTTTCTAAATAGCTGAAGATCTTGACGTGCCAGCTCATGAAGAGGTGTGCTTATTTAATACTTGTATCTGCATATAGACAGCTTATTTCTGTTTCAGCCTTTGCACACAATTACACTGTATTCCATTCACAAATAAAAAAGAAACTGCAGATACTTATTATTAGCATTAATCAGGCTTGCTAACTGCATGTTGTTGTGAGCAATACAGGAATGGTGAGGTTTTCCTAATATTTATAACCTATTTTATTGCGGTATAATTACTACTGGTGAATAGCATTAGTTTGTCATTGGTTTTGTTGTGGTTGATTTATATCCTGAGAAATCGTGTATTTTTTGCCCTGTTGTTTGTTTTGCTTTTGCCTAAGATGCAGTCTTACTTGGCCCTGCTGTGTTCTTCAGTGTTTTAAATTCATATGTGCTATAACTGCACAATTAACAAGCAGAAAAACCAGTACAGGAGCCAAGTGTAGGGTTATATGACTCAAATCTTGTAGTGATTGGAAATAAAATGGCAAATCTACTTCCTTTTCCACTTGTTCATTTAAAAATAGTTATTTCCATTTATTGGGAAGACAACTCCTTTATTGTGTTTCAGTTTGGTTTATTTGCTCTCTCACACAATAAGCTGTAAATGTCTGTACCTTCTTCCTCACAAATGTTTTCCATCTTTCCTAGATGAGTTTGTTGACTTGAGTGGCTGCATGGCTGTTTCTCTGACCTGGTTTGTAACAGCTGTAATAACTCTTGTATTCGGCTTTAGGTTCCCAATCCTCGGTTCCCTTTTCTGGGATTTCATTTCACGCCAAGAATGGATGGCAGTGTTTGGCTTGGTCCTAATGCAGTACTAGCCTTTAAGCGAGAGGGCTACAAATTGTTTGACTTCAGCACTGGAGACTTTTTAGATGCTGTAATGTACAGGTAATATCTTGTCTTTTTATCTGCTGAATGCAGTTATTTGTCAGCTTGTGACTCCATGGAAGCCAGTTCTTGTCAAAAAGCCTGCTTTTGCCAAGTTTTTAGTCTGTTTAAAGACAGTTGTGCTGATAAGGGTGGACTTCTCCAAGACATTTGACTTCATGTGATCCAATATATGAATTTTCATAAACTACCAAGACATGTCTCAGCTGGTCTGAGAATGCGGCTGCTCATCAGAAGGTACTTGTGAGCCATGTTGCTACTAGTGGAGCTCTTCCAGGATTGGTTTTGGTCCAATGCAGTGTGATATTTTAATCAGCCTAGACAGTGTGATTAAAATACCTGTAGAGGATGCTTGCAAGAGAGAACAGAGAGTGGTCTGAATTGCCATGTTAAACTCTGTCAGACCATCAATATACATTTAAAAAATATCCAAGTGCTAGGAAATACGTTAAGGGCCACGAATGCAGGCCAGGAAGCTGTCTTAGAAAGCACGTCAGAGGAATTAGGAGTCATTGCTAAAATTGCAAACATAAATGAACAGAAGTAGAAGTTGAGGGAAATCTTGCTTCTCTATGAGGGGCTGGACAGACCATTAGCAAGTGCTCAATTTTAGAAATTAGACTTGAAAAAGGATGTGAAAATATTGGGGAGGATCCCAGGAGAGGCTGAAAAACAGGTCAGGGAGCTGGAAAGTAGCTTTCTGGCAAACAGCTCAACTTAATGCAGTTTATTAAAGTAAAGAGTTGAAAGCATTTTGATCATTGTCTGTAGATTTTTATACTGGAAGACTTGGGGAAAGCAAAGCAAGCAAACAAGATTTGTGAAGACATAGCAAGATTCATTGACTGCAAGCTGAGGGGTTTAGGAGTGTGACAATCTTTTTACAATGATTGTGGAAAAGTCTCAAGCGGCATGTCTGTCTTCCCTCATGCATGTGGGTTTTCAGTCTCTTGCCATTTGACTTGACCAGAGAAAAATCCTGGACATAGGAAGGACTGGAGTTCAGAGTTAATTCTCAAAGAGAGAATGTAAATGCAATGCTACAGCTCTGTAAACAAGGTGTGTTGAAGCAGGGAAGGACAAACATATTTCTCAAGTAGAAGGCATTGATCGTATTACTGATGTTGGGAATGGGAACTTTTGCCATGCACTTGCATTTGCTACCTTCTTAGTGTTAGTTTGACATGGCTGCATTTATCATGCAAGATTTGTTCCTACTGCAGTTATTTTGTCTCCTACAGTGGGTTATGGAAGCTTGTGCTGAGAAACTTGTCTTACGGGCTGAGTGAAATATACAGAGCCTGTTTCCTTAGCGCACAGGTGAAGCAACTTCAGAAGTTCATCCCTGAGGTCACCATCAATGATGTACTGAGGTAAAGCAAACTTTTCTTGTTAGTAACACCCGGTGGCTTGTTAAATCTCTCATTTTTAACAGCAGCAAATGTAGCATTAGCTTACTCCCTTCCTCCACCAAAATATGCTACCAAAGCATAGAAGCATTGAGGTACTTTCTACAGGAAGGTCTTTTATATTGTGTTTGCTTGTGTATAGGCAAGTGTGACTTTCTACACTCCCCATAGGCTGAAATTTATAGTTGCGACATATTCACAAAAAAGAAAAAGTCCCTTTATCCTAGTGACACATCAGTAGCCTGAACATAATCTGAGTTCACAAAGAAAGCAAAACACTAACAAAATTCAGAGGGAAAGCCAGGTTGCGAGTTGCTACTGAGTGAATATTGACTTAGTTTAATCATCTCAATAAAATTGTATCCAGCTTCTTACTGTGCAGAGAGAGAAACTAATTCAAAGGTGTTCAGAAGTGCTAAGGAACTGAAGAGACTTGTGAGGAAAGGTGAGGCATTTAGATACGTGGAGGTGGGTTTAACTGTCCAAACATTTGCAGGGAGAAAATCCAGACTAAGAAAAGCTTGAGTATGGTAAAAAGGAGTTATCCAGCTCAGGCAGTAGACCATTGGCATGAAATTCATGTTTGACAAGGCTTGCTATTTCAGAACAAAGGGTTTCCTTTTTGAAAAGAGAGGCATGTTTGTGTGTGTGGGGAGGAGAGTAACTTCACAACCAGGAAAGATACAGAAGATCCTCTGCTTGGCTACCTGCCCTTGTTTTACTGTAACGATGTGAGACATCTCCCACTGACTCACAAGTGTTAAACTTCCCTGTGCTGCCCCAAAAGCCTGACTGGGCTTTGACTCCACAGTCTGCCTTCCTTACTGTTTCCCTGGGCACCTTCACAAGGTCAGAACAGAACTGATTTTCTGTCTTCAGAAAATGTTTGCTTTCTAATGGTGAGCTCCTCCTTTATTTTGCAGGGGTCCATCTGGAGTGAGAGCTCAAGCATTGGACAGTGATGGAAATTTGGTAGATGACTTTGTATTTGATGGAGGCAGTGGAGATATTGGAAGCAGAATTCTTCACGTCAGAAATGCCCCTTCTCCTGCTGCTACCTCCTCCCTTGCCATCGCAAAAATGATTGCAGATGAAGTGAAGCAAAGATTTGAATTGTGAATGATTGACAGGCATAGTGTGGTTTTACCCCTCTTGTACGTGTAGCAGCTTGTCTGAGTTGAGTGAACTCTGCAGCCTTTAATGACAAAGATAAAACAGGCAACATGTTGCTTGCAAGACCAGCGTTGGTATAGCTGTGCAGTGCAAAACCAGCATTTGAAATGTTTGCCTTTGCCAGCCCACAACTTCTCAGCTTCACGAATAAAGGAGTTAAGGTGCCTGGTAAGACCTGGTGCAGTACAGCCATCTGCAAGAAAGAAGCAAACAGCCTTGTTTGCAGTGAAGGTTTGTCCACCTGAGCAGGAACAGCCTGTGGAAGGGCTGGTGCCAGGCACAACGTGAGGGTCTCCCAGGACCATCGTGGGCCTTTAGGTGGAGCAGGAAGAGCCTCTGTGGTGGGGTTGCCCACACGGACTTCCCATGCCTTTGGTCTAAATGTTGCCTCCTCCTTGCACTCTGGAGAGGTGGTCGGTCCTCTGAAAAACCACAAGCATGGGGTGGTTCTCTGTGTGCTTTCTCTCTGACTCGCTTTAAATGAGAGTCTACAGTCCCCTAGCTTACATTGAAGTAATGGAGATGGAAGGGTAAGCCCTGCTTAAGGGTTCTGCCGATATGGAATTAAGGGCTTTATCAGAGACTGAAAACAATATTCAGAGGCTTTTACATGAATGTAGAGTATTTCAGAGAAAATTAAGGCTAACAAGGGATTACCAAATCCAAGTCAATTTAGATATGCGATTCAGATACGCTGTCTATCTGATCGCTGTCTCTATTTTTTTATAGAGCTGAAATAAAAATGTATACATAAACAGTCATTTTTCATTTAACTTAAATCTGGGAAGTCAGCGCTGATCAGAAACTACTCCAGTGATTTTGGGTTTTGGTGTTTTTTTCCTTTTAATATTGGTAATGCAAATGGAGCTTATCTTTGTACAGCATGTTGAGCAATCCAGTGGAAATGGCCTTTGTAAAAGCAAATGTGAAGGGAGGGAAGCTACAGAAACCTGTCTTAATTGAGTCATGTTGCATACTGCTTCCCGTGGAGCCCAAACACCAATGAGTCAGGAAGGCTTCCCATTTCCCACATGGCTGGCAAGAGGGGAGCTCGGAAAGTGCTGGTTACTCTTCTGAACTCTTACTGATATTTGAAGTTCTATCAGAGGTGCACCTGGAAGAGAGTCTGTGTGGAGAACGTGCTTTAAACTAGAGAGAGATGTTAAACAAGTTTGGTACTAAGCTAAGTGAGTCTCTTGGTGTGTTCTGCATAATTGCTACAAAAAAGAATTATGTGGCCCCAGGGACAAAGTACTTGAGAATACTTTTAAAGCAGATGTTCACAGGATGTTGGGTAATACAGATAATTGTGGGTAGTTTGCTACCAGGCAATTTGCCATGCTGATTTTTTTTTTTAAGGTTACTTTCTTTACTCCCCTGACATGCATGAGGGAGTGTGTTAACATAGGAGGTCAGGTGTGCTAGCTGATGTTTTTACTGTACAGAGCTGAGCCACTTTTGAGAAAGAAAGGGCTTAACCTCTTGGGGGTTTTGCTTGTTTGTTTGTTTGTTTGTTTGTTTTTCCTGGTGACATCTACTTTACCAGAAAGGTGACTCCTGTATAAGGACAACCTGGAAATTCAAACAATAAGCCCTTCAAAGACAAACTTTTGTCATTATTCTTAGCCACAATAACACTAGACAGATGTTCAGATATTCCAAATGCTAAAATGCCATACAGCTCTGTAAAAGTTGTATCTTCGCAATGGAACGATCGTATCTTCACTCCCCACCAGAACTGTTGCCTATCAACAGTAAATACTACAAAAAGATTGCAAAAGCAACTTCCTCCCACATGAGGTGTGGCCCTGACATGTATTAACAGAATAAAGAACATTAAAATGTAAAGCAGTCAGATACTACGGTGAATCTTAAGTCAGCACATTCAACTGTGCAGCCTGCTGTGCTTTTTACTCTCAGGAGATGATTACTTTGGGGTAGAGTTTAAATGAAGATTTTAAATTATGAGTCCTTATGTAGGAATCTGTGAAATATTTATATTTTTAGAGATAAAGTTATAAACATTTTTTATAGGAATAACTTCAGAGAATTATGATAATGGGGGTTTCAGACATAAATCTTGTTGCCCACAAAGTGTGAAAATGTGTGAATATATTTTCCAAAGGGTCTAATTCACTTGGATTGCTTGATAACTGTGCCTTTCTCTGTTACGATTAAAATAGCGTGGTGGTTTTTTTTTAATTGCTGTGAGGTTTGTGTATTTCTCCTGACTTACAGAAAAGTTTCACTGGTATTTGCTAATTCTCATCTGAATTAGGCAGGATATAGCTCTATATAATAGGAATTACTTTATTGGGGGTGGGGGGTCACACATGACCAAACTTGTCTTCCAAACTGTATCTTATCTGTGCTTATCACACTTCAAGCTTTTTTTCACACCCGTATGTATGCAGGGGACAGAACTAGTCTTAAGCCTGATCTGGACCTGTACCGGCATGTGGAATAGTAATTCTTCAAATTTTGAATAAATGCATTAGGACAGCTTTGGACAAACACAGTTAATTCCCCAAAAGTGTCCCGTAAGGTCAGTCCTAAACTCTGGGAAGAGTATGGTATATTATATCTTTTTTAAAACATTGCAAAGAAATGATACAGTGCCCCATATCATGGCTTATGGGATGGCTGCTCTTGGGCAAACGAGCTCCTTTAGGGCACTTCATTGTGTCTGGTCACCTTGGAGCAGGTCAGGCTGCCTGGAGAACAGAGGATTGTCACATCCTGAAGAACACGGGCGTTTTGGGGCTGCGGAGGTGGGGATAAAGTGCTCGATGAGGGTCTCACCCAACCTGGAACGTCTGCTTCTCCACGGGGCATCCCGGCTGTCCGAACTGCAGGTTCATGGATTTCACCACGGTTACCCCGAAGTTGCACTCGGGATTACCTTCTCCTTTTTGCTCACAGTTTGGGTTTGATGAACAAGTGTCTTCCCACAGAAGTAAATATTTTGTTGGAAACCTCCCAGGCTGCTTTGATGCAGCAGGAAGGTTAAGACCACAGAGCAAAAAGCAGCTGTCACTGCCTCTGCAAGCACCCGTCTCCTCCGGGAAATCTGTCACAACAAAGGATCACACTCTTGCTGGCAGAAAGGCACTTTTTTTTTCTGATTTAATTTATCCACTCCCTTTGTAGACAAGTCTTGAAGGGGTATATAAGGCGTGTGATTTGAATGCAATGCCATCGGAAGGGAAATGAGGGAAAGTTTGGCCGGAGCGGTTGTTCAGGGGGTGGAGGGAACAGTGACAGCCCGCGTTCTCTGGGGTAGGGAGGAAAACTGCCTCGAGGTAGGGAGAAAAAAACCCCGAACAGCCTCTAGGTAGGGAGTCTGCTGTTGGCGGGCCACTGAACCGCACCGCAGCTGCTGCCGGTGCCTTCTCCCACCCAGGACGGTGGTTCTGCCTCTGTTCCTCTGAGGGAAGAGGGGAGGAGTGAGGGGGCCGGAGGGCGAGAAGGAACAGGGTGACTTGCTGTGAGCCTTCGCAGCCTGGCGTGCGGGAGAGCGAGGGTGGAGTCCAGCCTCGCTGCAACAAGCGGCTACCGAAGAGTTCAGGGTCGCGGCGCGCCGGATTAGTTAATTCACCTCAGCCGTGCCGGCTGTGGAGAGAGGCAGCTCTGCCCCGCGGGGCGGGAAGCGGTTTGTGGGCTCTTCCCCGGCGCGGCCGGCAGGGGGCGCTGCGGTAGTGGGCGGGGGAGGGCGGCATGGTGGCGGCC